ATTCCTGTAAGCGCCATCAAAATCGGATGTGAAATAAAAAAGGTTTTTTCGCTGGGGGCCTGCGGCCTTAATCCATCTCTGCTTTTTTCCACAAAAATTCATTCCAATTTCTCATTTCTCCAAAAAAAAGAAAATATTGTCGGATTTGGTGCCCCTCCTTGTGCTTTTCAGCTCAAGGAGGGGCACCAAATCCGACAGGGTCCCTCAAAAGTAACTCTCTTTTTAGGTTACAGGTAAATGACATGAAACACTTGCATTATCAAACAGAATCAAAAGTGACCACAAGCTTTGACGATATAAACTCCCAGAGTCTCTTCGTTTCTGTATGTTTGATATTAACAATGCTCAAAGATCATCCACAGCAATCGATGGTACGTTTCTTCAATTCCAACTACTCATCGACGTTCTTATTCGATTGAAGTTTAGCGATGCTGATCGAAAAGAACTTGTTGCTTTGTGCAAATTAGAAATACCGAATGAACACGATATGATTGACCAATTCGACGAAGATTAGTGCGATGAACATGTCTTATGGTGGTATACACGAGATACGTTTCTTTACCGACGTTTGAATGCAGCACTTCGTCAGCAAAACATCAACCGGCTTTTTCGCATCCGTTTTCTTAGCCATGATATGTATACTCGACTGAAATTACTTCAGAATAAACAACAAGATGTATCGACAGTGATTCATCTGTATCTTGCTCAACAAATGTCATCGGATGAACGTCTGCAACTGGAAAATTCTGTGGATCACTTGATATCGACTATGTCGTTATCGACGAGTATCGATCGAATTGGAGCTAGGTTTTTGTTAGGAGATAATTCAAGGGTGATACACGATATGCATCCCGTCTTTTTTCAAATTACTGCTGATTCACAACTTGAAAATGTGAAACCTTTCGCAAATATTAGTGGTGAGAGCGCAATTGACAACGGACAGAAGATCTTATTCATGCTCGGAAGCATCTTTCGTCTTGATTCCATTCGTAAAGAAGGATATGTCACTCTAGTAAAAATGACAATATGCTCAGATGACAATCACGATTGTCAAACACTTTTCCAGCATATGAGACAAGAAATTGGCGAAGAAAATACACTTTTGACACCGGGAACTGTGCTCGGGAAAAGTGGTCGCTTGGATCAAGCAGAACTTTTTTATTTTGAAATGCTGAAAGCGTTGCCGGTCGACGATGATCGTATTGAAAATTGTTACTAAGGACTGGGTTTAGTCAGCAGAAAGAGGCGATCTTCACAAAGCTTTATACTATCAAGTACGAGTTCTCGAACATGACCAGCGTACACTACCTAAGAATAATCCTCGTATTGATATCATTTGGAACACTATTGGTAATATTCATTGGCGAGCCAAACAATATATTCTCGCACTGGGATCGTACGCAATAGCTATGATGATCTTTGAGAAAAATTATGGCATCGAACATTTGTATGTAGGTAACTGTTGAAGCAATACGGAAAATCTATTTGAAGAGACAAAGCAATACGAAACGGCGATCGATTGTCATCTAAGAGCACTGAAAATCCTGAAGAAAAACCGTCCTGTTGATCATCCGGATTTGGGGAAGTTTCATCATAACATTGAAAATATTTACTGTAGTCTGGATCAGCTACAGCATACTCGTCAACGCCTCAACGACGCTCTTTCAATCTTTCAAAAGTCTTTATCACCTAATAATCGCTGTATTGCCCGTACATATCAGAGTATGGGCGCTCTCGAGATCAAATCGGGCGCCCTCAGAAAAGCTATGGAATATTTCGAGAGATCATTAGTCATCCATTTAGAGACACTACCGAATAATCATCCGGATGTTAACAAAGTTTTACTCAACATCAAAAATCTTGGCGTAGCTATGGATGAAAGTGGTTTTACCTATATCTGAGCATAGTGTGCTGACAAAAAACAATCATTTTATGCCATCAATCATCTGAAAAAAAGATGAAGCATGATCAGCGATCAACTATTTTTGTCTGTTCTAATCATCTTTCTTATTACTAGTTTTTGTTCTATAAAAAGCTTTTTAGCACAACCCCGATGGAGTTAAAATGCGAAACCCACAAACTGTCATGTTTTATACTCAAAGAAAATGCACACAGGTACCATAAACTCTATGAAGCCGAGATAGTCCGAATAAAATCCCCATGCCTACAGCATGATTCATATATTTTTACTAGTTTTGGAATGTTATACATGCTCTACAGAAAAGGAAGAAAAATCTTGTGACTATATCACATGATAGTAGTGATCGTTCTCTATCTCTTTGTATGTTCATTCTCTGTTCAAAATCATGCCTCGGAAAAAAATCAATGATATTCTGGAGAGACGTATTTTGGGTCTTTTGGAACTGAAATACTCTCAGCCATAAATAGTTAAAATTTTGATAAAAGATGGAATCAGTGTATCTCAAAAAACTGTATCTAACGTGTGTTCCGGAATAAATCGGTCACTTAGTATTTTGCTCATATCTTAATTGGATTTTATCCCCTAAGCTTTGTTGTTTTCTTAAAAGGTGTGCCGTAAAGTTCTCTACAAAAAATATATTAAACATTTTTCTATATATTGTAAAGAGAAAAGACTATCGAAGAAATACTGCGAAGCTTCAATCTCGACTCAAAAAACAATTTTTTCAATTTTAGTCCTGCATACTTTGTGAAACAAAAAACAAGAAGATGGCCATTTGATAGCCCTTGAAAAGCTCTATCAAGTGTCTATATTAAAAATGTTTCGTAATCATAATCGGTTGTGGAAGAATTTTATTTCTTTTATCGACTGTCATCGATATCAACATTTACCAATTATAGTTTTGGTGTAGTTAGAAAAACGTTGATAACTCGATCAAAATCAAACACCTTTAGATAGAGTTTTCTTTATCTTAAAGTAAAATAATTCTTCTCTTATATCCGCACAGAGAAAGCTCAATATTTTCCTTTGTTTTCCTGTGTCACAACGAAAAAGACAAAATTTGTCCTTTTTTTGTTAGATTTTAGTACAATCATCTTTTGTGCTAGAAAAACACGTTTAAGCCGAACCTATGATAGACGAAAAGAAAGACGACCCTTCAGAGCACCAGAACTTATGTTCATGATTCCACCTTTATGCATGACACCATGCTCAAATATTTTTCCAAAATATGTTTTTTTATTGTTTCTTGAATTGTAAAGTAATCGAGATTGAAGCTTCGCAGTATTTCTTCTATATTCTTTCATCTTTACGATATATAGAAAAATGTTTAATATATTTTTTGTAGAGAATTTTACGGCACACCTTTTAAGAAAACAACAAAGCTTAGGGGATACAATTCAACTAAGATATGAGCAAAATACTAAGCGACCGATTTATTCTGGAACACCCGTTAATATCAAACGAAGGATTGGCTGTCTTTATGGATTCGAATCGATTGTTGTCGAAAGTGAATTGTTTATTTTGTTCTATTGAAGTAATGGGAATATTGAAAATTGTTTCAAATAATTTATTTAGAATGAGAGAAATATTTTCGTTTTTTGGAGAAATGAGAAATTGGAATGAATTTTTGTGGAAAAAAGCAGAGATGGATTAAGGCCGCAGGCCCCCAGCGAAAAAACCTTTTTTATTTCACATCCGATTTTGATGGCGCTTACAGGAAT